GCCAGTCTGCAAAAATAATTAGTGCTAATTATACCTCATTGAGTATCCTTCTTTTGTTGTGAAGCTCAAAAACACTAAATATGATTAGTGTCCATTAGAATAATTTGAACTAGGAAGCACATGATTTCCTAGGGTAGCTGCACACATAATTCTAAATAGCTCCACTTTCTCCCCCTGTTGTTATTCCACTATTACAGAGGCTATTGATCACAGGTGAAAAATGTTGGTATATACCGGCTTCCTCCAACAAAAATCCTTGGACCTCCTTCGTTCATGTGAACTATCTTGAATTATGTGTTATTTACGTCTAATAGTTATGTGTAATTTAGTCATTAAATCCAGGCTCAGCTTCCTTGCTTTTGATCACAGTGAGAAAAGCCCCACCACAGGGTCTACTTCAGATATAAACCGTGCAAGTCCATGGTGAACTCCCTGGATCTGTAGCACATACATACACAATTTTCTTCTGATTGTGCACAGGGTTACACAACCACAGTTCTCACATTTGGTCTGTGAATCCCTTCATTGTTCAATATAAGCTTTTAACATTGTGAACACTGTTGGAATGCTTTCTACGTGTCTCCAAATAGCTTCTGCTAGCTGTGGGGCAAAGGCCTTGGAGCGTTGGAAGGTTAGTTTTTATTGCTGTAACTCTATTTTATCTATACAGAGGTTTGAAAGTCACAGGATTTTAAATTCTGGAAGAATACAAGACAGCACAGGGCTCCCTCACTTTGTATTAATGCCATTTTTGCACCCTTTGCACACGCATTTTAGACTAAGTAGCTTTTATCTCCTTTTATTTAAAGCCACTTCTAAGTAGTATGGAAGCCCACTTGAGTAAAAAAAAAAACAAACCGTAATCATTTGCAATACTTAAACTTAAAAATCCCCTATATATCAATCTGAGCTAGATGGATCCAATAATAAAAGATACCAATTTAAATGAGTACTTTACAATGGTAAACTTACAACTTTTCAGCAGACTAGATCAAATGTAGTCTGGGAGCAGCTAATTGATATACAAATACGAGGTCCAAGGATAATTAAAAAAAACCCTCTCAGTGCAGTTTCCATGCATGCTAACTGCATTCTTGGTTATAATCTAACATTCAAAATGTTCTCCAGTTGAAAAAAGGAAGGAAAAAAAAAATAGTTAACCTCATTAGAAACATCATAGATTCTCTGTATTTTGAAACTCAGTGAAAGAAAAAAACAGACCTGAGAAGGATTCAGTTGCTCGGTGCTTTTATTTCACAGGAGAATGAACATTTCGGCAAACATGTAATATCATACTTTCCACATATCAGCAGAGTCCAGGCAGCAGCAAAATGTTACTGATCTCTATGCTTTATTGGATGTTAGAAGGGAAAAAAAGGAAATTGAGCATAATGTTCAGCCATAAATATTGTCAAATATATCCCTGGTTTCAGTCTCTTTTAATTAAAATAGATCTTATGCTGCCTCCTGTTGGTCACCTACAAACAGAAACATCTAAAATTAGACTCCACATTACGAACTGCAGACAGCACATTCTATAGCCTATACCTTACCTACTACCTACTACTAATCAGAGGAGGTATATAGCTTTCTTCATGGAGTAATACCAGAAATAAATCTGACCTAGTAAATCTACTCCATTTTGTGAATGAATTTTTAACAGCAGTAAACTGACTTGCTACAAATGTATTTAGAATATAGAAAATAACTTCATTAGTACATAAATAATAATCAGGTCTGTGCAAACATAATCAATATAAACACCTGAATAATTGATATTTATTATAACAACTAAACCAGTATGATAACATTACCAAAGTGCCATAATGTTTTGATAGCATTCTTTAAAAATTAAGATTATCCAATATAATCATTACTGGATATTAAAATCCCACATACAATATATATTATCTTCATGTATATTATACTGGTCATGCTTATAATGTGTTCTGTGACATATAATAGAATACTATTAGAAATGTTTTGGTTACATCGTTTAAGTGCAAATAGTAGATTATAACTTTACATGCAATTTGTATGTTTTAAACATCTTACTATATTTTGGTGAGAACATAGGTAATCATTAATCTAGTCATTGACTATTTTTAGAGGAAGGTACTTTTTAATAAAGTACTGTGAGCTTTGAAAATTCAGAAAAGATGTAGAAAAACTTGCTTTGCACTAATTTTGTGACTTGTATTAAATTGCGTAACAGCTGCGTAAAGTAGACTGAAAAATCTATTTGATCCAGACCTACAGCAGTTACTCATGCAAGTAATCCATATTCTGAGTACTGTAGTTGACTTCACTGAGATTTCTTACATCATTAGCGATTCATTACAGGATTTGGAACATAGGCCCTTAATTCTATCATAAAGCCTTGTTTTTAGCCATGCCTTTCTAACACAGCTGCTTCTGCGCTCAATTCTGTTATCAGATTTAACTCTCTGTATGTGGAATTGTGGCAAATGACCTTTTTTTCCTCTGAGAGTTGTAATACAGGCTTACCTACATAACTGAAGAAAATTCATATTATTTCATGGTAACTTTTCTGTAAGCAATGATATAAAGTAAGTGACACTACTACGTTATTTCCTGATCACTGAGTAAGAGAGCTCAACTCCATCTGAAATCCATGAATGAATTGTCAGACTGGGAACTGACATTAGTTCCTGTGCAAATGTAGCATACAATATTAAAGAAGCATCTCTATTTTCCATATTAAGCTTCAGTTTTCACTATATATACTGAGTAATTTACCACATACGTCATTGCTCTATCTAATGTCATATGCCAGAGGCTTATACATATGGCAACTAGCTGGATGGAAGACTGCCAAAAAAAAACTTGCTGTAAGGAAAATCTTAGAGGAAAGAGCATCACCTGAATTACTGACTCACTTGCTGTTTATGTGACCCAGCAATTTGGTCATGACAGTGGCAATTCAAAAACCCTCGCAATTCTCTAGTCTCTTGCAATTTGCATAGCTATTTATACCCATGTACTGTGGGCATAATATGTTACTTTTCTCATTGCATAAATTGCATACTCATATTACTCAGGTATAAAACCAACACAAAAACACAAGCAGAGGAGAATTGGGCATTGTATTTCTGATGAAGTGACAAGTTGCAATAATTAATGATTAATGAAGTCTCTATGCTACTGTGAGTAGCCTTATTAATGCTAAAACTAGTGTTCTCCTATATGTTTGTTTATTTTTCTCCCACTGTTTCAGTAAGCAGGAGTCGTATTCTCCATGTCTCCTAAACTATTCAATACATTTGCTTTGCACTAACAAAAAGTAGTTGTGTTCCAATATAAAAAGGCCTGCATTTCAGTATGGTGATTATAAAGGTTACATAGCTAAGTGTAGTTATATGATTTGGAGACTCACTATGAAAAGAGCAAAATAAATGTGGAAGTTGCCTGAAATACTGTAACGGTAAGCTATTTACTCTACAGAACTGACACGCATCTTAACACAAATAAATTATTAAGTGGGAGGGTTCCACTCTATTAATATGTTCTCCAAATATGCATAATTTTCATTTACATCTTTATGAAAATATTTATGATGCATGTTATCTAAATTTATAAAGGTATCTGATAAGAAATTATAGAGTTCCAATCACAGAACTGGAACTTTCCATTGTTTACTGTTTAAAACAGAAGTATGTTGCTAGGCAATATTAAGCTTCAAGCATTAATATTGAGCTTGAGTTTTGCAAGAAGTACATGCAGTAGTGATGTAATAATGAACTTACCGCAGTTGTCTCAAGCCATGTGAAAGATGTTTTAGACATCTCACTAAATTTTGTTCATTTTTAAACTGCTTGGAGAAGATGTGTTTAGATGTTCAGAACCATTCTGTCTGGCATAAGACAACCTTGCTGCTTAAATGATACTTATACAGAACATAAGGGCTCCCAATATCTTGTGCAAATAGCTGGTAAGGAAGAAAATTCTCAGGCTGTGGAAGATTACAAATTAATTTGTGAAACCTAGCTAATTTCACTGTCCTTCTCTCAGACACAGGTCCCACTTCGTATGCATGAGATCAAATTTACTTCACAATGTATGCCTAGACTAATATTAGAAGTCCATTACAATTTTAACATTATAATAGATGACTACTGAAAGTTTATCAAGCAATATATTGTGTAGTGTTTATGATGTAATATTTTAGCACTTAAAATTATCATGAAGTACAAGATAAAGTGTTTTAATTAATTCAAATCACTATAGAAGTTAAAAAAATTATTTTTTCACCTCAGAAATGCTATTTACTTTGACTTTAAATATGGGGATTTATTTTTGTAACTTTGTATTTGATGTATGACAAGATACAAACTTTTCCCATAGTTAACCAAAGCAACAACTAAAATTTATTTTACAACTTGCTGCTGCAAGCAGCCTAGTGGCTGCTTAGTAGGTAGCACTGGAGACTTCAGAGATGGAAGACTTCTGTTAGAAAACATCCTGAAGTGTTTTTTCTTTAGTTAATAGCATGACTGAAGCAAAGATGCCACAGGAATCATCCATGCTGTAGAAATCTTGCCCACCCTGCAATATGTTAACAAAGTTTATCTTGCCACAGTTAATGGGGTGAAAACCGAAAGTACAGCTACTACTAAGGCACAAGGATGGAGAAAAACTGGTAAAGCTGAAGAGCTGAAGTAAGATGACAGGAATTACCAGTCTCTTCAAGTTAGATACCTGGTTTTAATGCTGTGAAGGTCACTTTGGCTCTTGCCCTTGCTAAGGTCATTCTAATAAGATCAAGCTGACAATGAATGCCTTTTACAAGTTTATGAATATAAAAAAACCTAAATAAAAACCCACTAATGTAGATTTCTTTTAAACTTCAGTTAGATAGGGAAAACAGTATCAGTCAGTTTTCTCACTCAGCAATTTGTCTACTGGGACAACTGTGAATATTACAGAAATAATGGCTCATGTTACACAATTAATTCCTCATGACTATGCTTTTTTGAAAAGTAATATCATTTTGCAAATAATTACAGAGAAGACTTGCATATAAAATTAAGTAATACTTTCTATATAATGACTACCATGAATGACAATTTAATGGACTCTTCCAAAGCAATTCTATAGCATACAATTTAAACTGAAGATTTAAACAAAACAGTACGTATTTTTCCATCTGTAAATTAATACCTAAAAATCTGTTCTAAAAGTTGTGCATTTAAATAGATTCTTTTGACTCAGGAGTTTCAAAATTCTCCAGAGCAAATTGTCAGTACAGATGACCAGGGGTCCCTATATTTATTAAACTGAATAACCTGACAGTAAAACTCAGTTAAGGCTCTTGGCATTGGTGAAACTTCTTCCCACTCAGACCTACTACTATGGTAGACTTGAACTTCATCTGTGATTTCTTCTGGAGCATAATCACCACCTAATATATAAATTTTGTCTTCTGTTCCAACTGCCCCTGCATTAAAGCCAGCGCATTCAAAAGATCCTTCCCCTTTCCAAACACAGGTTTCCGGGCAAAAGCTGTAGACCTTGTAGGTGGAGAGATCACATATGTACAATGTACAGTTCACTGGAACAGCTTTGATTAGAGTTGCATGGAAAAATTGCCCAAATTCTGCTACAAGCTCAGACCACTGATCAGTCATAGCATTATACTTAAAGAAACAGTCAAGAGATGGATTAAAGGCATCAGTAATCTCTACTTCTGAGCCAAGGACATAAATTATATTCTGACATGCACTTGCTTCTGGATAGTAGATACCTCTTGGTAATTGGCTTACAGATTTCCAGTCTTTGGAAAGAGGATTATAGGATTCTACATCCAAAAGACTTCGGGTTTCTTGAGCTCCTCTGGTCTTTCCACCTATTACGAACAGCTGGTTTAAGGTTACAACAGAGGTGTGCATTGTCCTTGGCTTTTTCATAGCTGACACTATGGAGAATTCATTGCTGACTGGACAGTAGCACCAGGTTTGGTCAGTGGCATCATGAAATGGTTCAGCAATATGAAGCCTGACAGTCCTATAGCAATTCCCCTTGCATCCTCCAGTTATAAATATTTTTTCTCCATAGCTAGATAAACTTGACCCTGGAAGATCAATCATGTGTGTATGTGGTAGTTCCTTCCATTTATCTGTTTTGATGTTGTAGCAGAATGTATGTCTGTTTTCTCCATCTTCATCAGTTTTATGAACAAATATATATTTTTCTGTCGTTGAAGGACGTGCATCTGGAAACAGTCCACTAAAGTTTTGCACACTTTTAACTGCATCATTGATTATTACTGAGCAATTAGCACTCTTAAGTAAGTGTTCTTCAGAATGTAGAAAGTCCTGCAAAGTCTTTTCAGGTAACTGGTGTAGTCTCACTTTTTTAATCAAATTAGGCAGATGTTTCTGTCGTGTTTCTAAGTTGTGTTTGGTCCACTGAAGGACAGCTTTCAACACTGATTCTTCCTCAGGGACATTTAGTTCGTCAGCCTCGAGACATTTTTGTAATATCTCAAAATTCATCTCCAAAAAATCACTTGATCTGAGCAGCACGGAAAAGTGGTGCTGTACAAAATCTAGCGCATGATCAAATAAGCGGATGGAACCATAACTTTCTGATAGAGAAAGCAACTGTAAGCAATTCACAAGATCAATACTTTTTATTAGAAAGTCACTGCAAGCTTTGGAAAGGAGTGAAACTTGAAGAAATGACGACAGTTGGAAGAGCATTTCCACATTATCATTTGTTATCTCTGTTTTTCCTGTGTAAGCGTAATCAAGAAAAGCTTTCACTGCCTTGGGTGATAGATTACTAATAGTAACATTGCCATCATCTCGTTCTTTCATATTAACTTCAAACATGGCTCTGTGAATAAAATATAGAAGATATAAACACAAATTAAAGATCTAGCAAACAGCAGAGAACACTGATGTGAGAGGAAGGAGACAATCAGGGATGGATAATAAGGTGGGCAGGCTGTATAGGTCTAAAATGTGGACGTTCTCATAAGTAAGAACGATGCATTTGCTTGCTATGGTTGAAGAAAAAAGGAGTGGTGATAACATATTCAAAGTGATGGGTCATAAAAATGATAGCAGCACCTGTGTTTTGTGTGGATTTTCATGGAGAGCAATGAAGTCTGCAGCTGTCAACGTGAGAGAAAATGTGAAATTGTTCAGGGCAGCACCAGTTTCAACAGCTTGAGAAAGAAAGGCTGATTTACAAAACATACAGTAAAAAAGCCCCATGATTCAGGTCATGCACTGTGGATGAATTCAGAAAATTAAGTGAAAAAAGGCCTTCCAAATTGCAGGCTGAGCAAATGGCAGGATGGATGACGGGTGCATTCCTCAGTAATAAAAGTAGGTGAGGGGTGAAAGAGGAGAAAAAACATGAGGAAACTTAATTCTTGCTTTAGAGTGGGCAGGTAGATGTATGGGTACAGGCAGATGTCGGGAAAAAAATGAGGTTTTGACACTGGATTGCGTGGCACAATTAAATTTGTGCAGAAAGTAGATTGTGACTGAATACAAAGATGATGGTTGAAATCATGGAACAAACTATTCATCAGTAGATTTGTGCAAATTTTATTACAACTTTGACTACTTTATTACTAGATATGTAATAACATTTAACTATTTCACACAATCTAACATGGCAAGATAAAATAATTAAAGTTTTTCAATCTGGTAACTTCTGGCAACAGAATAGTGCTGCAACATCACTTGCCCTACCCTCCCAGAGCCTAAGCATCAGGCTGTCACAGCAACAGCTTCTGAATTTGATAAAAGATGATAGGGGAGAAAGATTTAGATAAATCATCAAATACTAAGTATATAATCTGATTATTAATACATCATAGATAGTCTCTATTTAAAAAGAGAGTATTATGTCATAGTTCAGTTATACAATTAGTATCTGTATAGTATGTGATTTTTAAAATCCCATACTATTATGACGCCAAAGAGAAAAAGAAAATCATGGTGTGTAGCATACTGTTTGGGAAGTGAACATCAGGTAAAGCAGGAACTTTTCTGACCTCCTGAACAAGAACATAAAATTACAATAAGACACTTACGTCCCAAAGACCTTTTTGCATACTAAATGACAATCCTTAGAATCCTTTCCTCATTAACCCAAGAGCTATGATACAAATCTCTAAATTACAGAGTAAAATAGCAACTGAGCAATACTAGCAGGAGAGCAATCTAGGCAAAGGTATTGATTCTGAAAGCTAACAAGTAGGGAGCAAAAAATCGCTGAATCTTGGGTTTACACAATGAAACCAAAACTAACAGAAGTCCAAAGGCCAAGAAAGACTAAAGGTGTTTCGTTTTAAAATTCATCTAGTGGACTGTCCTGGTTTCGGCTGGGATGGACTCAATTTGCTTCCTAGTAGCTGGCATAGTGCTGTGTTTTGGAT